CACTTTGGAATCAGATCTAGTTGCAATCCTATCCTACTTAAAATTATATAAGTTACTTTTTGACATATATAATAAACATGTAACCACTCACAGTTCATCACTCACCAATTTTATTTTTTTAATGTACACCTAAAAAATTTATTTCATAAAACAAACATTAAGGGCAAGTTTGTGATTGTGCAGTCTAATCCAATGTACTAACACCAGCCACAAGGATTGAGAAGTAATGAAATGGTCAGTCACATAAAGAAATAGAATTGATCAATGTAACAAATATATACTAATAAATTTCAGGAAAAAATTTCCCAGCCAGAACATATCAAAATTAATTTTTAAAAAAAAACTAAAATATATAAAATCTCTAAATTAGATTCGAAGAAAAGGAAGTGTCTACATGCACTGAATATTTCCTCTTCTTCAGGCCATCTCCAATCCTACACCAAAATTTGAGGTAAGTTTTGCATATTTTATACCAAACATTGCGCTAAACTAAAAATCGTCTCAACACATTATACTAAAACTTCTACCAATTGAACAGTGTTTAGTGATTTTCTTTATTTTTTAAAAATTCTTAATAGTTTATTTATTTGAAAAGTATGTATTTATTTTACAACTACATAAATTATTAAATAAATAATTATGTTAAATTAACGAAAATATTAAATTCATTAATAAATTAAAAATATATAGTACAATTAACAGAAATACTACAAATAAGAAAATTAAATCATGTCATTAAAAAAAGTATAAGTATAATAATAATTTATTACATTAAGGCTCCGTTTGGGAGCCATTCTTCTTCAAAGAATACATTTTATCTTTCACATCAAGTGGGGTCCATGGAGCATGTGTGGTTGAAAAAGAAGGAAAAGTTATTGATGTGATGGAAAATATTATTTTATTGAAGGATGTGTGGTTAAAAATGAGTAGAAGAATGAGAATGAAAATTTTAATGGTTACCAAACGGAGGCTAAAAAATGTATAACAAAAATGGACACAAATATTCTTAAACCAATTTTTATTTTTATTTTGCAAAGTGAAAGAGAGTGTCAAAATTGTATTTAACCATTTTGGTGTAAAATTGTGCAACATATGGTGCTAGGTTGGAGAGAGTTTACACCATTTTTGATGCAAAATGGTGTTTTGGAAATAGCATTGGAGATGGTTTTAGATATGTCGATTTCTTTATCAGTTATGATAAGACAGAAGCATAAAACTGATATTCTCTATTTCGAGTTGTAGAAAATGAATAATTATAAATTAAAGAATTATTTTTTGTCAAAATTAAATCATTCTTAAAATAATTAAAGATCGTTTGGACCAAAAAGAAAACGTCTATGGTGTCCCTTTCTAGGGAGCAATGTGTAAAGAGAACTTGGAACTTCAATCTTCATCTAACTGATTTCCCTATATGTTTTTCCTAGGATTGGACATGATTCGATTCGATTCGATTCGGTTCGGTTCGGTTCGATTTTGAAGAGAACCGATTTGAACCAAAATTTTCGGGTATTTAATAAATGGAACCATCGGTAAGTGTTGGTAATACTTATGAACTATTTGATTTAATCATCAATTGTTTAACTTGTCGTACTAAGAAACTCTATAAGCATAATTGAAAATGCACAATTAACAAATACAAATAAACTAAAAATTGTTTAACTAATAAAATTTAATAAGAAAAAATTGGATTGGCTGTGCTAGCTACGCATGGACTTGATTTGGGAGTTGGAGCATTAATCACTAAATTAGTTAATTTGCTAATTTGTTTAGAAAAAAAATAAAAAAATGTAATTAATTCAATATAAAAAATTATTTATATTCGATTCTTATTCGATTTTTGGTCTAGAACCGAGAATCGAACCAAACACATCGATTCTCAATTCAGATACTATGTTCGGGTATTTAATTAACCTATGAAGAATTGCTCAGTTTGGCTCGAGTTCGATTCGATCCGATTCTGTTCGAGAGTTTTGTCCCGCCTCAACTTTTCCAACCCCAACCAAGGCATTCAGCTAAAAGAAAAAACAAAAAACAAAAAACAAAAAAAGAAGTTGATGTAGAGTCTAATATCATATCATATGACTAGCCACCATCCTTTCCCACTTTTTATTCCATTATAAACAAGCACTATGGGTGTCTTGTAAGTGGTAGTACTAGGATAATATTGTATACTTATTTTCATCTTCGCTATTGTGTAGCGTGCAGAGTGCAATCCAACATACTAATCCACGTATAGTGAAAATCAATTGGACTAATGATAAATAAAATCTTTGCTAGTGAATTGGTTCACGGTAAAAGTTAATATAGAATTCTTAATTTAATTTAGCCTTGACAACAAAAAATATTATACATAATTCTTGGTTCAATTTAAACCTTGACAACAAACAATATTGATCTAAATATGAATAATATATAAATTTAATGAAATATTCCCTGACTATAACATATTATGCCCCTATTTGACAATCATTATTTTATTTTTTTTAAATTTTTATACTTATTTTCAATCACACATTTACACAATAACATATTTTGTTTGTAAGTCCAAAACTTTTTTTTTTTTTTTTTTTTTTTTTAACTTCGCATCCTTAAAAAAAATCACTATTCAAAATTCAATTTTCTCGACATAATGGCCATCAACCAGGAACTATTCAGAGCTATCTTCGCTTCAATCCCAACACTACTTTTTGTTACTTTATACAGGTTTGAGCGATATAAATTTTCTTCAGTTCTACCAGCTTAACAGTTTTTGAAACAAATTCATATTAGACTTTTCTATTTTTATGGGATTATTCGTACACAATACTTCAACAAGTACACTGTTATTAAGGAATGTGGTCCTGCCCACACATTCGGGAGATGGGTATTCATGGATTCGTTTGACTTGAATGAGAGTTTTCTTGATTTGTTTGGTAATTAACATGATGTTATAGGTTTAGGAGATTGAGAAATTTAGGACCCATTTAATTAAGAAGTTGTTGAAGACATGTACTGAAGTGGCGATGGTGAACGGTACAGTAGTAACAATGGTAGTTAGGCGACACGATAATGACTGGGTTCTGATTTTTCATTTTGGGGTGGGGCGTGGTGTGGGTAGGGGTGAGAAGGTTTGGAGAAGATGAAGTTAATTTATTTATTTTGGTTTTATATTTAATTTTTTTATTATAGAAAATATAAAGTTATTATTTTACCTTTTATTTAATTTGTCAATTTGAGTCAAAATTCAAATTTCAGAGTTGACTAATAGAATTTTGGACAAAATTTGTTCAATGGACTCTAGTTGTCATTCAAGTGAAAGGTTTGAGACCATGGTTGCAAAAATTAAAGATTAAGGTGTATTCTGCACCAAAATGAAAGATTTGAGGCATTCGCTACAATTTTTTCTATGCTTAACTATCATGCTACATGAACATCAAAGCAATTATTTGTGGGTCCAGTCAAGTCAACCTCTGGTTCAACATGTTTGGTGTTGTGTACACATGTTAGGTTTAGCTCTCAATAAAATTATAATTTATTTTTTTCTCTCTTCTTATCAACTACACATTCTCCAATAAAATAATATTACACATAATCTCAAAATAAAATTCTTCTTTTTTAACTGCACATTATTATTATTATTATTTAAAATATTATTCTAATCATTAAAATTTCAAATAATGGGGCCAAACGGGGGCATAACCATTTTAATCCCTTTTTATACCTCGACATAGGATGACATTCATAAATTGTTCACAGAGCTCATACAGGTGTTGTATGAGTGATTTTTTTATAACGTCCAATCATACATCGACACGTGTATTCTTTAAGAACAATATATGTGAATATATTCGGTACTTATAGCATGATTCTAACATTCATAATTCATTATGGTACAATATATAGAATTATTTTCCATAAAATTTGACTATTTAATTGATTAGGCTGTCCTACTTAGCGCCCATTTGGCCCCCATTATTCTATATTATAATGAGAGAAATAATAATTTTTTGAAAAATGTGTAGTTAAAAAAGAATTTTTTGGGGTTTACGTATAATATTATTTTATTGAAAAATGTGTGATTGATAACAAAAGAGAAATATATGAATTGTAATTTAATGGGGGCTTAATGCGTAACATTTTGTTTATTTATTGAGGAATAATGTTATTCATTATTGCTGGTATTAAGTACCAATCTAGTGGTAATTATATGACATTAAATTATAGATTCATTTAAATGTAAATTCATATGACTCATTTAATTAAACATATAAAAGGACCTAAATTGATTTTCTAACATCACTAGTGCTAGATAGCATTATCCTTATTTAAAATGTTGACTCTTGACTAATCCCTGTGCATGCTAAAAATTTTGTAGTACAATAGAACATTAATATGTATATTTGCATTATAATCAGTATTCTAAAAGGTGTAAAGCCTGATTAGCTAGCTAAATCAAGTTTTGTATTTGGACATGTCTTTTAGAACACTTATTATAATTATTATAAATACTATTTTCTTTTTGGTGCACAATTGGACAAAATTTATAAAATAAATACTTGTTTTTTTCAATTAAAAATCTAAAAGATAATCTCGTGTTCTCAAATGAGATTTTGATCAATTTAAAATTTCTTCTAAATTTAGGTGTCCCCAATTAAAATTTTAATAAATTTTAATAAAATCTATTAAAATTTAGGTATTTCCAATTAAGATTTTAATGAATTTCAATGAAATCCTTCAAAATTTTGGCATATTCGATAACTCGTGAATTCATAAGGATTTTATTAATAGAAAGCTTTTAAAAAATTTGAATCGATTTCAAACTTAAAAGTACATATAACAAAATTTTCATAATTTTGAATGAGATTCTTATAAATATTATAAAATCTCATTCAAATTCACAAAATACATTAGAATTAAATAATTTATAAGCAGCCCTTGTATAAAAAAAAAACACAATACTGAACATTTCTCTTCATTCTGCGAAGTGGGGATTTCATATTTTCCAGCTTTATTTATTTCAAATGGAAAATTTCCATATTCCTGGTTTTCTTCTTGTTATTTTCTTGTTTCTTGTTCCACTGTTTCATGGAGCACCTGCAGCCAAAGCTGAAAAAACAGAAGATGGATCAGAAGTTTGGGGATATGTTCAAGTCCGGCCAAGTAAGTTAAATTTTCTCAATCTAATCGAAACTTGCTCTAATGCTACGATGAACAACATCTTCTAAGAGAAGATGATGTTTACTCCTTTTCACGTTTTAGATACAAATTTCATGCAATATATATGCTGATCTTTTCTTCTGTTTGTGTCTGTAAACAGAAGCTTACATGTTCTGGTGGTATTACAGAAGTCCATACATTGTTCAAGATTCAAACAAGCCAAGGCCTGTAATTCTTTGGCTCCAGGGAGGTCCTGTAAGTATTATTATTTATGTAGAGTTGGGATTTCAACTCCTATCATATCAGTTCGAGGCAGTCAATTGTATCTCCCTCAACACAACTTAATCCAAAAGAACAGCTCTCATTCTTCTCCTTTTTACTCTCCCTTGGTCATTCTGGTTAATCCTCGACAAGACTAAACACTATAATGAACAAAATTTTAGCTTCTTTTTATTCTTTAATACTGTTCAATTATTGTTATTTAATATTGTTCGGTATTATTCTTCAGGGTGCATCTGGAGTTGGGATTGGAAATTTTGAAGAAATAGGACCTTTAGATAATAATTTGAAGCCTAGAAACTCAACATGGCTTAAACATGCTGATCTCCTATTTGTTGTGAGTATGACATTCCAATAATTGACCGACACCGCATGTTTGGCACGAGGATTAGAAAGCAGTCGAAAATCTTGTTCATTACTTCCTTTATTTTTTGGTGTGTGTGTGTGTGTGTAGGATAATCCGGTTGGTACGGGATACAGTTACGTTGAGGATACTAAACTGTTTGTGAAAACTGATGATGAAGCAGCCACTGATTTAACTACACTGTTGATAGAAGTTTTCAACAGAAATGAGAGCCTTCAGAAGAGTTCTCTATATATTGTAGCGGAGTCTTATGGAGGAAAGCATGCTGTTACTCTTGGATTATCAGCTCTCAAGGCAATAGAGGCTGGAAAACTAAAGCTCCAACTTGGAGGTAATCATAATTTTTTATCTCAGTCGGAAATCGAATAACTTAAATAGATTTCCGTTCATAAGAGTAAATTGATCTTAGCAGAACAAGTTAGAAGAGGAATTTATGGACCAAACGAAATGACCAATTGTGGAGGTAGTTGATCTGGATCTGTGAATAGAGTGGCGTAGACGAGTTCATGTAGCTGACCACCCGGTACTTGAAATAAAACTTGGTTGTTGTTTGTTTCTAGCTGGAAAATCAAATATGGAAGTTGGGGGAAAAGATTGATTCTTTGTTGAACCAGGCCACCCTGAATTTCTTACCATATAAAGGATTTACTAGGAGGTCGTTTTGTGTAAGGTATAGACTCCTCCATGGTAGGGAAAACTTGCAACTTTGAGGGGACGTAGCTCTCACATTAAGATGAAATCACTATAAATCTATGCATTGCTTGTTGTCTAAGTGGTTTTTTATTGTTATTCCTCTAGAGAGTAGGGATTAGAGATTATACATCAAATACGAGGAGAATCCTTACATTTTTGGACCATGTTCTTGGTTTGTAGGAATTGCATTGGGAGACACTTGGATTTCACCAGAAGATTTTGTGGTATGCAGCTGATTCAACTGTAAATTAACATATTTTTCATTTAACTTTTGCTGTTTAAGACAACTGTACCATGTACTACTTCTCGATTTCACATGTACAATGTAGTTCTCATGGGGTCCTCTTCTCAAAGATGTTTCAAGAATTGGCAGCAATGGCCTGAAGGAATCAAAACGGTTAGATTTCTCAACTTTCTTCTCTTAGAATGTTTGTATTGTTTCGGATTAATCCCCGACCCTACTGCTAAAAGTAACAATACGCAAAATATAAGACGAGCAGATTTATAGGTTATAGGTCGATCTACGCTGATGATCCAACATGGATACCCATTGTTTCATGCTTTAGAGTCGAAACAATAGTGTTGGCTAACAAAAAGTGTTTCATAAAACAGTCTTGCGGAGAAAATTAAACAACAAATTGACGCCGGTAAATTTGTAGAAGCAACAGACTCTTGGAATGAACTTGAGAATGTTATTGACGCTAGCACCAATTCAGTGGTAAATTTTCATCTTTCCTCGTCTATTTTGTTTAATAAGGTGTACTTTACAGGATTATACATTATTAACGAAGACTGTCGAGTCATATGTTTGCAGGATTTCTTCAATTTTCTTCTGGATTCAAGCAGTGAACGTTTATCGTTGACAGCTTCTGAGCTATCCCGACAAATTGAGAGGAAACGATACTCTAAGTACGTGAATTCCTTGAGGTCTAATGCTGATGGTGACGGAGATCTCGATAGCCTGATGAACGGGGCTATTAAAAAGAAGTTAAAGATTCCGGATAATGTTCAGTTAGTTTCTTTTCTGACAATCAAATTACGAGCATTTTAGTGTTCGATTGACTAGAACATGCGTAATTAATGTAGTTTTTCGCAGATGGAGAGGGCAATCAGATCCTGTTTTCAGTGCACAAGAAGGGGATTTCATGAGACCTAGGATCAATGAGGTAACAAAGACAAATTCTTTTAACAATTTTCCAATTAAAATAAGGAATTGGTCTAAAAGAAACTCCCCGAGAAGGCCTCTATCTGTGATATAGGTAGAAGAAACTGCTATCGAAAAAGTTTTCGTATAAAATTCGAAATGTTGAATCTAGGAAGAATCAACAAAACCTTAATTTTCTTGAATAATATCTCTTTATCTTTTACCGGTTAATCTTAATCTTAATTCTTCTTTTCAGTCCATTAGGATTCTTTTCTTTCAAAGATAATTACTTTGGCAGCAACTTGAGGCTTGAAGACAAATGAAATTTAGAAGGAAAATGTATTCCATGATTAACTTGTACTAACTTCCCTTGAGATTCTTGACATGAAGTGACCCTTCAACTACAAATTTGGTTTTTTTTTTTATTTGATATCCAGGTATCCTAACTTACACTAGACTATATCCTGGACCACCCATTCCCGACCCCTCAGTGATGAGTGGAGGTTAACCGCGGGATATGTTCACGTTGACCAGGGTCTGTGTACTCTTTATACTCCGACTCCAAGGGAGTCTTCCTCTATGAATATACAAATTTGGTTTTTACTTGATTGAATATTAATTAGTTCTGTCCCTCTACATATAGTTGAGCAATCTAAGTCACAAAGAAAGTTTCTTTATCATTGTAATGATGACTGGCCCTCAAAAAGCCCACCCATCTAGTGTCACGAGTCTCCGATGAAAAAATGAATTTGATCTACGTGGGAAGAGACATTTTTCAATCTTGCTACATGTTGGTTTACCCGACCCCACCCCCTCCCTCACATGGGGGTCGGGTCCCACTCATTTATTGGATGTGGGACCCCGACCCCCATGTGAGGGAGGAAGTGGGGTCGGGTAAACCAAAGTGTACTCCAAAGGATACAAATAGCATAATTCATGTTCTTATTTGTTGGTGCATGATTTGCAGGTTGATGAACTGTTGGAGAAAGGAGTCAATATTACTATCTATAATGGTCAAGTAAGAACTGTTTTGTGCTCTTCTTGATCTTGTTATACACAACTATTCTTGGAAACTACATAGCAAAATTTTGTCTATTGTTCAGTTGAGTTAGTGTATATTAGTTGGCAGTAGTCAATCTTCTTCTTCAAACTAACGACTAAACGACGTGTATTGTTGTAGCTCGACCTCATTTGCTCAACCATGGGAACTGAAGCCTGGGTTGAAAAACTCAAGTAAGATCACCACAATTTTAGTTAACTATCACATTTTAATTGCTATGAATACTTCTAATTTTTGCTCATATTTTCACTTATGTCCCAACTTTTTTTTGTCAAATTCTTATCATCAACTCTCTAGTTTGCAAATCTGGTGTCTAATGATGGTTTCTCTCCAAACAAAATTGTTAGAAGGGTGTAAGTATACTATATGTCCCTCGCATTTTTAAATAAACAACTAATCCAAAAGTTCGACAGATGCTCCTCATTTCAATGCAATATCGTAGAATATTCGAACAATAATTGTAATTAGACACTAGATGTGTTAATTAATTGAAGGTTAAGGATAAAAAGACGACAAAAAATTGAGGACATAAAGTGCAAAACTGAGCAAATTTTAGGTACCTTGCTATTAAAATGTGGCGCGGATATAAAAAGTGTTGTGTGAATATATTTTCTTTTACGAAAAAAGAACAGTATCATTACGTGTGACAAATATGCATGTTAGATAAACTTGTATCACATCAAAAGCGTAATTGTGTTCATTTTTTTCTTTAATTCACGGTTACAGATGGGACGGGTTGCAAACGTTCTTGAGTATGAACCGATCACCAATCTTTTGTAATGGAGAAAAAACCACAAAGGGCTTCACCAGATCATACAAGAATTTACATTTCTATTGGATTCTTGGTGCTGGCCATTTTGTAAGTCAATTTCCCCATTACTTGATCAAACTTACTGTCTCTTTTAACAAATTATGAATTGTGGTTCATATGTCATTTTCATATTGAAAATACCCTTCCTAGTATTATCAAGATTCATGATTAGACATACACATCATAATTGTGTGGTCTAGTTATTGACTGATGTTGTTTCTTTGCTTGTTGAGATGTCCTCATCATCCAACAACAACGATAAGAGAAAATAGCATGTCGGGATTTTTAACATTTACATATTTGTCTCCCAATAACGTTTTCTTGGCATTTGTCATCTTCAACTTTTTATGTTGTATCCATTGAGTCTTTGTTGACGGTTTTCGTCCACTTTGACTGCTAGAACATTTCGAGTAAGACAAGGAGAGATATTTTGATTCAAATTTTGACACATAATTTCTTCTGATTGTTCAGGTACCTGTTGATCAGCCATGTGTGGCATTGAACATGGTAGGTAGCATCACACAGTCAACAGTTACATCAAAATAGATGACCAATGTACCAATTTCGTAAATATGGCAATTTACAATGACAAATTGTTTTCAAACGGAATAACTCTCATATTTTCATTCAAAGTAATTTCTTCGATGTTTCTTGTTTCTCTTATAATTACTGCGACATGGGTTTTTCTAGTTCTAGTTTCCGGTTTATAACTCGTGCGGAAAAATGGAGAAATCATTGAATTTTTTTATATTTTATATCTATATAATTTATGTATCGTCACTCTCGATGCCGCTATCATCCCTGTTCTCCAACAAAGTATAGTGTTTTTATGCCAAGAGAGTAAATTGAATGAAGTTAAAAGTTGACGTTATATTACAGTATAAAATGGAAATTCGGAGCTCAACGTTATATTCGGAGCTCAACGCTAAAATGGAAATCGAATAACAATATAACCCCATAATTGGCAATTTTTTTTTTGATATTATTAGTTGGTGAGTCCCAGAATAAGTAAGTGTGGCTTTAAGAGTATAAAAATTGTAGATCTAATAAAATATGTGGTTAAAAAAAAAGTTTAACTAACTTATTTATAATACTAGCTTTGGCCCTTGCGATGCACGGATTCTGTTATTTTTAAGGTAATATTAGCATAGAATGTGAAGGACTAAAGGGAGATGTGTGCATTGTACCTTCACACAAAAGTTACTAAGATGAAACACTATCTTATTTTTCAATAAATCTGAGTTCGGCTATATGAATTTTCTTTTCTACTGGGGTTTATCACTACATAATCTCATTAATCATGAAAAAATAATAATGGAGTGTGTATTTTTCTTTGTTTACATATCATTATTGCACACAACATTATTTTTAGAAGTACCAAAAACTGTAAATAATATTATAATTTGAAGGCTGAGAATAAAATCAAGAAATTACCCTATTTGGTTTATAATTGTTCTGATATTCTTCATAATTGCTTCAACATCTGAAAGAATGTCTTGTTCCTCCACGGTGAAAAGAAAAGAAGANAACATCTGAAAGAATGTCTTGTTTCTCCACGGTGAAAAGAAAAGAAGAGAAATAAAAAGAAAAGGCGCAAGTGCGGAGCGACGAAACGAATTTTGATTTTCATGTATGTATATAATTGAATATTTTCTAATGTTTTTCAATTAAATTATTAATAAGTGAAATTCAAGTTGTAGTTTATGTAAAATGTAAATAGATAAAATTTTTGACAAAAAAATGAAATAAAAAGAAAATGCGCAAGTGCGGAGCGACGGAAGGAATTTTGATTTTCATGTATCTACGTAATTGAATATTTTCTAATATTTTTGAATTAAATTATTAATAAGTGAAATTGAAGTTATAGTTTATGTAAAATGTAAATAAGTAGAATTTTTTTGAAAAAAAAAATAAGAAA